AGATCCGATCATGAATGGTCCTCTTATTGATTCCAGATTGTTAAATGTTTCCCACGCAAGTCATTTTTTCTCGGAAATTCGAGTTTTATGCTGGCTTCTTAACTTATGCTGGTCTAACGTACGTAGGTTGTAAACATAAATTGAAATCCTGTTGACAAATACGTTATAAAACTATTTAAGCAAGAATTGTTCGTATTGGAAAGCAATCTGTTAAAAGGTTATATTTACGACGTAATTACAAAATATTTACATCCGAACGCGTCAAATCCCATTGAACTCAATGGTAAATGACCCAATGTTTTGGTCACCACGTAGGGATCGCCGGTGCTTCAGAGCAGGGTACGGAGAGAAACTTGTTTAGGGCTACTCCATCTTACTTCCTACCTCCATGGATTAGATGGTGTCCAGCGAATGACACACCAAAGACAGAAAGTCTTCAGCCACCATCTCTCTCAATTCACCTCTCAACAACATTCAATACACACTACCTGCATTCCACTCAGGGGATGACATTGACAGTTACGTGGAAGAGCTCACGAATAAAATTAAAACTGCGTATGATCACGCACAAAAAGAAATTAAATGAAAAAAGTACATCAGATCCAGTGAACTTGATGCCCTTATTAAAAGGAGAAATGCTGCCAGAAGGCATTTCCAACGTACCAGAAGCCGTGAGGATAAGCAGCATTTCAATCATCTCAATAATGCAGTCAAGTCTCTTACAAAACTCCAAGCACAAAACAGTTGGACGAACTACCTGAACTCACTCTCTACAGATGATAATTCACTGTGGAGAGCCTTGTCCAGGTACAAAAAATGCCACAATAAAATTCCGCCCCTTAAAGGCCTCAACAGGATCCACTACACCGAAACTGAGGAGGCAGAACTTTTAGCACAGCATCTGGAATCTCAGTTTTCCATGAACAACATTACTGACATTCCAACAGAAAAATCTAGTTTCTAATTTCCACTCCAATTTTACAACTCCACACACGGACAACATTAGTCCAGTTATGCCTTCAGAAGTTCTTAGCTACATCAAGAAACTCAAGAAAAAGAAATCTCCAGGCAAGGACAGAATTATTAACTACATGGTGAAGAAGTTTCCTACCAAGGTTGTCCTAGTCCTGACTAAACTCTTCAACGAAGTTCTTCGTATGCAGCACTTCCCAAGTTCCTCGAAAACTGCACTCATCACGCCTCTCTTAAAGCCACAGAAGCCTGACAACCGTCCGGATTCGTATAGACCAATCAGCCTACTACCCGGGCTCAGCAAGCTGTTCGCATTCAGTCTCGTTCCCAGATCTGAATGAGAGAAAATATGAAGAAAAATCAAGGATGCCCGCCATTTAATGGCAAGAAAGTATGACTTTGTTTTAATAGAAATTATATAAATTATAGAAGATTTTTATGACAGGTATTTTTGTGAAGACAATCAACGAAGTTTTAATCACGACAACTGTTTTGTCTATTTACATCACGTCACTGGAAGCTAAATCCATCCAATATAAGGCCATATTTCATTTTAAATTCTAATCAAGCGAACCAGCTGCTTATTCTGATATGATTTCTCTTTGCATAAACTTCGAAAAGCTAATTCAATGTATAATTTATATTCCAGTTTACATTTTAATAATATCAAGATTTCCCTTCGCATTAATTTGTGGAAAGAGCCAGGCTTCGTCTTCCTGTATTTTAATTATTTGTATGATTTTTTTCTATAAATATCTTATACGATCACAAGTAATATATCTTCCATTAGCATAAATAGAATTTAGTATTTTATAACTACAATGCACAGGATTTTAATGAATACTGGTCTGTTTTATTTGTGTGTGTGTGATGACCGGGGATATTTCCAGATTTGAAATAACACCACCATGAGTAAGACATCATGGTCAGATAAGCGACGTTGATTGGTCATAAAAGCAATTGATCGTACTGCGCAAGCGCATAGAAACGTGTCTTGCTGAACGCTTGGGGTGGGAATTTGAAGTGAAAAAACATCTCTCATATCGTTGTTGACGTTTTACGGAGCAGGCTGTAGTTTGCTTAATAAGACTTCAAGAAACGTGTTCAGCATGGTATGTTTTCAATATATTTTGTTAATAAATAATATATGTATGTGCAAAAATTAAGAATCGCTTGCAATTTTTAAATATAGTTTTGGTCACGTTTTGTGTTAATATTTTTATTATTAAATATTCATATATTTTCTTATCAAAGCTGCTTTATGAGAGAAAGTCAATGATATTTTTACAATTTCTTCTGAAATATGTCATTATTTGGTCAATTAATTAAATGACAATTCATTCTCCCCATTAATTTTATTAGTTGGAATTTAAAAATGGAGAGCAGTATATCAGTGTAAATTATGAGGTTTCTGTGAAGACCTTTCCCCACTAAGATATGTATAAGTTCTAATGTTTGTGTTTTTTAAATATCAGTCAAAAACTAAAATGTAATAAATCTGTCCAATTTAAGGTAAAGCAAAAGATATTTTAATTTAGCTTAAAATGAAAACGTTCGCTAATAAAAAAAAATAAGATATATATAATCCTTGTTCTGAAGTATGTCATAAAGACCACGTGGTTTGGGATAAATTATTGTTGTTAGTGGCAATCTAATATGTATTTTATATTCATAAATATATACGTGTTAGAGACCAATATCGTTGGCATATAAATGGTGAAAACTTTCATATGCAACGCAACTGCACTTGATATTTTCTGCTGCTTTTGAAAGTTTAAAATTCTACATTAGGAACAGAAATATATTTTTTAAAAATGCGTAATTTGTGAGAATGGGCTCTAAAATGCATCGGGCAGTCCATTTCTCCTAGTTAATTTAGATCTTATTCCCACGGTATCACCACGTTGAAACATACGTGATTATACAATAAGGAAACGAGTTGTTCGTATATTTAACTGGATCACTTTGATTACAAGGCTTTCAAAAAAATTCTCCCTCACAAAAAAATTTTTTTTTCTGGCTGTACCTTCTTGCTAAAAACGTGTCTAAAAAAAGGATTTTCTCCCTTAGCCTTGAAATATATAATAATTATATTTATCTAGAAATAATCTTTCTTTCTCAGCTCCTTTTAAATGAAAGATTTCATGCTATGTATTTGTAATTTTGGAAGGACTAATTCTTAAGCTGAAAGCTCTATAACAACCGCTTTTAATAAAATTGCTTCATACGTGAAACAAAAATAGGATTATCTACAAAAAATTGCATATCGTTTTTAATGTGATAATTTTTTCACATTTTAAAATTTTTGCAACCTTTATAAACATTAATGGTAAATTCAAAGAGCTGCTATCTTTTAAACTGAATTTCAAATTGAGAGCATCTATTAATTATTTATTACCCTATTTAAAACTTTTGTCAATATAATACTCAGAAGAAAAAAGGCAATATGCCGAATGGTTCCTTCAAACCTTTTTATTACTCTAACAAATGCATTTTTAAAAATTTTTATTTTTAAAAAAACAAAGAACATTTAACTAAATCGTACTTAAGATTGTATTTTGACAATTTTTAAAAAAAATTCAGCTAGGATTTTTATTTTCTGCACCTTAATTTTATTTGGGAACATTATAATTAAGCATTTTCTTAAAGAAAATTCAATTCCTGGATAATCCCTTTACAGGTTTTACACATGCTCAAAAGCTGTTTTTAATTGTTTACAGTGTTACATTGTCATACAGATATAAGCGTTCGTTCAAAATATTTAGCTATATGCAAGAAATTCAGACTGGTTCAATCTTATCTTTCATGCTTAGCCATTCGAAATTTCTTGGCTTTAATATTAATCGGCTAAGGAGTTGGAACAAAGTTGCTTTCAAGAACTTCGAGGCATTTACAGCTTCGAACATTTATAATAACGATGTCGTATGTCGATATTATTAATCTGAATTTCCTGTATATTTTTGTACATTTCAAGCGGCATTTATAGCCATGAACGGTAACTATTTCTATCAGGTACTTGTTTTACACTGAGACGTGGACACAGAAACCATTTATTAAATGAGTATCATTTTTAATTATTATTCGGTATTATTATGTATTTCCTTATGTATACCTCTTCAATGCTGCAACTGCAGTTAATAACAATGCAGTGTGCGATATTAATTTTTAGCTCAAAATGGCGTTCGCCGGAATCGGCTGTTAGTCTCGAAACGGGACTTTGGCTCTCCACTGTAAACGGCAAAGTGGTGATATGGTAATGACATATTTCAGCTATTTTCTAAGTCCAAATGCAATTCTAAAATTATTATATGATATGATTTCAGCAGGTCCATAACAGACTTTGAATTTCATTTCATTACATTGGTGTGAAATCATATTCGTGCCCGATTTTTGCAACTGATAAGACACTGACAAGAAAGAATATGAGGAGAATTTTATTGCCGCTTTCCTTTAGCCAGAGGAGCGATACGTCTGCCTTTAATCTTGTCCGCCCGTAAGAGCACATTGCTTGAAAAGAGTAGTAGCGATTAGCCAGAAATTAAACGCCTTATTCTTCTATAATTCCTTTTATTTCATTGTAAGATTGGCCCACACTTTCAGACTATACCGTGAATAAACTTTATCTAATTAAGATAGAGAAAAAGGAGTGTGCATTCTGCTCGCAATAATTGTACGTAACTAAGTTCTTTGAAATGGTAGTTCATTCATGTTTGGAATAAAATATCACAGAAATTTTTTATTAAATCTTGACTTAAAATAGTTTATTAAAAATAAGATAATACTAGATAACTAAATAAATTCTTATGAGTGATATATTCATAACTTTGTCGGAAATTTTTAATTTAATTTGGAAGCGTACGAAAAGTAATGTGTGTTGTGAAGAATTAGAAAGTAAGGTAAAGTTTCTCCTTCCTCACAGTTAGTAATGTTACTTGTTTCTGGGTCTCATTTTCCCTTTTCTTTTAAAGAAATATTTTATAATTATAAATGGAAAAACTACATTCCTTTACAGGATCTACAAAATCTTGTCAACGCTGCTATGCAAGCTTTGTTGTATGACAATACTGAAGCTATTAAAGGCATTTTAAGACAAGATTGTTTTGCGGATTACATCTTCGCTTCGGTGACGGATGGTCGTGCGCGACTTTCTGCTTGGATTCTGTTCCTGCGAGCCAGAGCTATCGTACAAGGTAATGTTTTTACTTTTTTTATCACACACATTTTTTAATGCTTTATAATTACAAAAGAATGATTAAAATCGAAATTTTATTCATTCCTTCAAAATTTTACTACGATTAGTTTCTTTCTACCTTTATCTTGATATCTATGTAGTAGAAACGTACTTTAAAAATGTACAGACGTTTGAAATTTCACTTGATTTGGATTACACTTATCACCTCCTGGTAGCCTTTACGGACACGGTTTCAACTTTTTGGAGATAAATCAATGTTTTATGTGTAGCGTTTAACAATGTTGATTATTGAAGTCATTTTTTTTAAGTTAAAAATATCCTATAAAAAGATGGTATACCTCTAGAGTATGTTTTGCCAAATTTTGTATAAAAAATAAAATGATGTGCTCAAGAATTACAATTTTGCTTCATTAATTTAATTTGTGTTCTCTCCTTTTAAAAAAAATTAAGTTTACTTTTAAAAAAGTATTCTTAAACTTATTTTCATTTACGCCAGTGTTAAAATTTTGCTTGAATTAAAATGTCATAATATAAAATGTCTCCTTCCCTTTTTAAAGATTTTCTATTATTTGTATGACGGGAGATACATAATTGTATTTGCGATAAATCTTTTTCTGCAACGATTTTATTCATAATTCTTATTAAAAAGCAATATAATATATGATAAATTTTAAGAAGGAACATATTTCAATATTTATTACGGATAGGATTCAGTTGTTAACTTTCGGCAACTAATATTGCTTATCAGTAGAGATTACTCATAGGCTTTGCCCAGGTATATATAGAGTACTCGTTGAATGTGCATTTAAACCAGCATGGAGCGTTATATACCTTCGGTATATTTAAAAAGTGAAAAAACATTACGTAATTCTATAAATGTATTTAACATTTTAACTAGATATATCATGAACTGCCTTCGTCTTGCTTTTAAATGCACCAGAAATATGCCTAAAGGGAACACCAAAAATTAAATTTAAAAACTGCACATAATTTTACTGTGCAGAACAACTTCATGGAAAAAAAATGTAACTGTCGTCACCAAACATTTTACCATTCTTTTCTGGGTCCAGGACAAGGTCGAAATCCACTTCCCCCCCACAAAAAAAAAAAAAAAAAAAAAAAAAAAAAAATCTTAATCAGAGATATTAGTGAAAATCTCTGAAAACTCTAATTTTTGCCCTCATTTTTCCAAGTGGCAACAGTGTTCATATCAGCAATAAATCGTGATCGTGGCAATCGTGATATAGCAACAACAATGCCTGCGTGTCATTGTTGCTGATGCAATGAGAGAAAATTACCGATTTGACGCGATTTCCTAAAAAAACATAAAATAAAAAAAGCTCTTTCGAATTTGAAAAAATCGCTTCTAGGTACGCCGGCTCTTGTCTAGATGCACCTATTTTCCAAATTTCGTAGTTCTGGGTCTGTTAGCTTACACGCAGGAAGAACCAAAGGCACGTATATACAGAGAGACTCTTCCCTTTACTGCATGCATTACTTTTAAATAACTTGGTTTGTTCATTAATAACAAACAGATTAAGTTTGAAAGATAAACATCTTACATTTTCCTCAATGGCAACAGACTCGAAGGAAAATTGAAACATGCAGAATTGCATTTCGAGCTTCCTTTTGAGCTAAAAAAGATGTCTCTGATATGGAATAAATTTCTTTTAAAGATAGAGAATTTTATCCATGCTCTTTATAAAGGAAATTATCCTTTATACGTGGTATAACGAAGCATTATTTCCGAGCGTAAGGAACCGATGACGGGTAGAATTTTAGTAAAAATATTACATCAGTTGATTTTGTGTTAAAAATGATAAATTAACATTAAGAATTGTGACTATCAAGTTGGTTCCATTATCCTTTTGTGGGGGAAAAAAGAACTGATAAGGTGATTTTTTCCTCCTTTCTGCATGTCTTTGTGGTGTAACGGTAGCACATCCGGCGCATATTCGAGAGGTCTAGGATTCGAGTCCGGCAGAGGAGACTGCACATCTTTCACGACTCTTGTTTCAAAATAAACTAATGACTCTACATTGGTGCCCAAACTAAAAGGTGGTGGACGATAGTTCGTCACCACTAGGATTTAGTGTTTGAGTTCCCCAATCCCCAGTCGCCCTTTAAAAGGAGTAGTATATAAGGTATATTCTCCATTCTTCCAGCACGCCTTCGGAAAGTAACAGTAGCACACATGACGCGTATTCGAGAGATGCAGGGTTCGAGTTCCAGCGAGGGCATTTCACATTTTTCACGTCTCCTGCTTCAAAATAACCTGATGACTCTACATAGTTTTATCCCATTTTTGCTATAATTTCGAGCCAAAGATTTTATTTGTGCATATGATATTACGTGTTTCTGATAAATGTTCCTTATTAACATTCACCTTGTACACTAAATAACCATAACATCATGAAATGTTCCTTTCTAATATAATATTTAGTACGTAGAATTGTCATTCAGAGATTTCAGTAATTATTATATATTGTACTTTTATAGATATTCTCAGATATGATGGCGATTTCTGTCCGAATTATGGAAACAACCTAGGCCATGTTCTGCTTTATCATGCAGCCTACATTTCAGATTGGGAGTTAATTAGTTTGCTTCTAGAAAAGGGAGCCGATGTTACAAGCACAGACGTACAGGGGAGAACAGCTCTACATATTGCTTGTGTCAAAGCATCTTTAATGTTAAAAATATTTTAAATGTGTTTACGTCTTTTTTTTTTTTTTTTTTTTTTTTTTTTTTCATTTGCATAATGAAATCACTTGTAGATTAGAAATACATTTAATGTACGGAATATTTAATTAATTGAATAGCAAATGAAGTATTAATGAAATTTCGGAACTTTGAACGGAACAAATATGAATGAAATAATTTGAATGAAATAGGACCAAAAAACTTAAGTTTTAAGAATTGATTTACTTGATGATGTATATAACCCAAAATATGCATGCAACTTACGTGTAATCTTAGCTAAGTGGTAAAGCTGATGGTAACGATGTCCATTTTTTTGGAGTCGTGAGTTCGAATCCCATACGCTTTTTGCACCATGTCTGCAACTTTCTTACCTTTTTATTCCAATTTGATCTATATTCGTGTTTTATAATTTATTTCTATTATTATATGCATTAAATATATTGTTTTATTTATGCTCTTATTTATTTAAATTTTTCCCCCGCAAAAAAGTTTGAAAATTATATAATACTAATTTAAAGCATATCCTGTACATATATATTTGAATTTAACAAACATTCTCTATTCGTAAAAAGCAAATTTAAAGTTAATTAAATTTAAATGAAATTTAATGCAAACAAAGAAATGATTAATTATTGCTGTGCAAGTATCAAAATCCACGAATAAATATATAATTCCAAAAATTTATTAATCCTTATAAAATTTATAAAAATGCATAAGTGAATAATGGGATAGATTATTAATCCTAAAAAAATTATAAAAATGCATAAATGAATAATAGGATAGATTTAATCCTAAAAAACTTATAAAAATGCATAACTGAATAATAGGATAAATAAATTTTTGGAATTATATATTTATTCATGGATTTTGATACTTTCACTTGATTTACATATGCTCTCAGAATTTAAATGATATTGTATATTAGTTCGCAGCAATAATTAATCCTTTATTTGTTTGCATTAAATTTTATTTAAATTTAATGAACTTTTAATTTTTACGAATAGAAAATGTTCGTTAAATTCAAATTTCATTCCTTGCAGCAATGGCGCAAGAGAATTATTTAAATTTAATTTATTTTGAAACCCTGCATATATATATATATATATTTTCGTTTCACTTTTATGTGAATGTATATACATGTGCTCAGACTTTGGGATGTTTACGACTCTAAACTTTCATTCCAATTAACATGAGACAGTATTAATGCCCTAAACATTTTTTTAACAAAAAATTACTATAATAATTGCTTTTAAATTCAGTCCTCTCCTGCAGAAGCGCAGGAATTAATTAATTAAATATTTCCATTTTCTTTACCTAATGTGTGTATATATAAAGAGAAAAATCTTATTTTTATAACTTCTTGTATAAAAAGAGATATGAATTAAAAATGTTTAAATTAAAAATAATATTTTATGGATTATGTATAAAATATAACTGCCCATAGTGCATTTTAAAACAAACGAGATTTCTAATAAATTATCCAGCTATGACCCTGAAGTCAGCGGTATACAAGCATTGCAAATTTTGCTTAAATATTGTGAACCTTTCCTTACAGTTGCTCTGTACTTTTAAAGTACCAACTATTTTTTAATCCCTTTAACTTTTTTATTTTATGTTATTTATTTGTTTACTTTTTCACTAACAGTACATTTTAATTTTAATAATATATATATTATTTCATAATATTTAAGGCTTCTAGAAACACAATTTTTTTTTTTTTTTTTTTAAATTTAGTTCAGCTTCTATGGAATTCGTGATGTTCATAATATGCATTATAACCTTACTTATCTAAAATTCCATATCAAATCCAAAACAAACAATACTCGCTTAAGCGGGAAAAATTCAGATGTTCAGCGTCGTAACTTGCGAATTGCATGCGCCAAAATATTACAGTGACATCTAGCGGCGGAAAATGAAAATATTTTACGCATACGCAGCAGTGGAAACGCTTGTACGGATGCCGTAGGCGTGTCTTCAATTGACGCAACGCGTTCGTACGCAGTAGTGGAAACGAGCCTTTACTCTTCACGCACGCGCAATGGACGTTTTTTCTATACAGCAACCTTTGCCAATTGTCGACGTATCTAGACTTCAGGCACGCATGATGAATTGCTGCGAATTGTGTGTGATCTTTTATTCATATACAAAAAAATAAATGCTTAGAAGTATTTTTAGCTCAAAAGATAAATATTACGTACTGTTTGCATTAAGAATTACTGATTTGTTATTCTGATAAACCCAGAAATGCGGAATTTATTTACTTGGGACTTAAAAGTTTATGCGAAAACAGATGTTCTTTCTCCAAATTAGACGTTGTTCTTTGTTGACGTGTTGATGTTAATACTGATGAATTAATTCGGTAGGTTACCGTAACGCTTAATAACCAATTTACTTAACCTTATTTCATATCTATTTCCTAATGTAGTTTTGTTTAATATTCCATCTTATATCTGCTGTTACAAAATTTCTTTTGAAATTTATTTGAATTCATATTTTCCACAAAGGCATCTCTCATCCAAATAATAGTTAAGTGCTTTGCCATAATCAATTAATTTAAACTCATTTTACAATTTTTTTCTAATGCAGGTTTTATATCTGTTTATGTATCTAGCTATATTTTCTTATATATTATACATCCATATCTTGTATACATATACTATGTACATCTTTCGATATTATATGTCTATATTTTCTTGTTGATTACATTATCTTATCTATTAGTAATCCAAAAGACATACGCATTATTCGTAATCGAGCCTCTAATGACTAGGCTTACCATATTTTTTTTTGCTCAAACCGGAAGAACTTTGAGAAAATACTCCCACAGAAAATAAAACCTGAAAAAGCAACTACTAAGGAAAAAGGAAAATAAAGAAGGATTGAGAATGCTAAATAAAGAAGTTATTAACAAAAAACAACAATGAGTTAAAATAAATTTTTAGTAACGCAATACGTTATTCATTAGTATTTATCATTAGCGTCTAGTGTTCACACTAGTGTTTTTATAACTAGTGTGAACTTTGTTTAAAAATTCTTTGAACATTGATGAAAAATTCACTGCAATTTAGTTGACTATTAGTTTTTCAGCTTAGTAAAGCTTTAACTGTGTATTCAGCCAATTTACGTCTTTCTTCAATCCAGTTTTTATGGTAATATAATTGACAATATTATTTTGATTGCTGCCAGTATGTCTCGCATGCTTGAAAATGTATTCTGTCATTTAAATGGCACTGTGCAATGAAACGCGTTTTTCTCCGAAGTGACTGAAATTTTTTATCCATTTTTTCACAATTTTTCCTTTTCTAAATTTCATAATTAGCTGACCAAACCTTTTGAAATCATTAATTAATCAAAAACTTGATCCATATTTATTGTATAATAACAATTTAATTATTTTTTTTATTTGGATTTTCAATTTTAGACCGTTTTAATTTACTGTTGTCTATTCAAATAAAAGATTCCACCTCACCAAAACAGTTTTCCTTTATCTCAGTATAAGATAGACATCAATCAAAAAGGTTGTAAATTCTTGTAGGGTTGTATTGATATTAATAGTTCCATTATTTTCAAAGAAAAATCTTAGTTTTTCAGGTGCGTCCTTTTTACCATGTTCTGTGCGTTCATGTGCACGAAGCAGATTTTATTTTGAAAAAACTTCCTCACAGTCATTACATGTAAATTTGCGAGCAGTTCTTAATGTAGGAGCTAATTCCACTAATTTCGAAGGATGGCACTTAATAATATGCGCCCGTAGATTTCGTCGGAATGAATAGGATTTCGAACATTCCAAACATAAAAAAATTTCTTCCGTAATAATCACACTAAATAAGTCACAAGTAAACTGGTAAGTCAGGGTTAACTTCGTAGAGTGACAAAAGTTAGCGGAACAACATGTCTTTAATCGGCAATCTTATGATACATCGCCGATAGTATATAGCAGATGCCAGCCTATTACGCTAACGAAGCGTATCACTGCGCGTGCGTGAAGCATAAGCCCCGCAGAACGGAGACATTATTTTAGAGTAGGAGGTTTTTAACCTTTCACGCCCGAGAGCCACATCAATAAATTCACAAAGATCCGTGGGCCACACGTCTGTCAAAAAATAGTAAAGTCAGAAAATTTATGTAAAAAAAATATGTAAAAAAAAGTAAAGTAATAAATGTCGAAATTGTAACCCGAAGGTCAGCCAGGAAGTCATGAAAAAGAGCAGTCAGTGCGAATCCGCATGTGGAATTTTGATGCTTAAAAATGCGCTTTTCGAGAATGTATGCACGTGAAAAGGCGTCGTCCGTTATGTCTGCAAAAACATCTAAAATTTAACTTTACATAAAACATCTGTATATACAGGCACAGTAGAATTACTGCAAATAATTCCATTCTATCCTATACACATGTAAGTTCAAGCGATATGAGGATTCTCTTTTTTGCCACATTTCGTCCAAAACTTGCAAGACCTACTTAATTTTACTCATCTGATGTCTTTCGCTAACTGCTTTTTTAATTGCGAATAAATAATTTGGAGGAGTATGAAAGTCAAACCACGTAGCCTCGCAGTTTGGCCTTGTAAACAATAAGGAACAATTGGTCATATCAAAATGAAACTTCTAGGAATGACTAATTTACTGTTCATCCAACCTTCCAAAATAGCTGCTATCAGAAAGAAAACTATCCGTTTGCTTTGAGCAAAGGGAGTTCCTTTGATTTTGACTCTGGCCTTAAGCCTGAGTTTTGACACACTGACAAAATTTTATCCTTCAGGAAGGTCGAAGCGTCATTTTTGTAAAAGTCATGCTTTCACTTGCTGTCATAAGAGAATCCGAAAATTTTTGAAAGACATGTTAGAGCACTTGAGAAAAAGTGAGATATTCTGAAGTTATCTGCTGGTAAGGAAGAATAAAATAGAACAGTTTACTTAACAAAGTGAAAGATGTTCTGAGACTATTTGTGATATCAGAATAATTCAAATTGCGGGGGGGGGGAATATGCGTAGGTAGTCTTACCTGCCCCATTTCTAGGGCCATTAAGAGCAGTGCATATCTAACAACCGACAATTATTCGTAATTTTTAACGGAAAATATACAAATCTTTTCGCGCTAAATTAATTTGTTACGAATTTTCAGTTTTTTATGAAGGCTATTTGGATATTACAGCGCTATATTCATCTCCAGATATATTTTAATTTACGTGTTCTTTCCAACATTCGGCTACCCGTTCGAATTCTTTTCTCTTTATTACATGAAAAATTAAAACATTCTTATTAGTTTTAACTAGTTCTGTTTTGTTTTCCCTGTAATGGTCAATTCTTCCTCGATTATTAAACTACATCTTGATAAGCTACTGATGTCAAATTTCCCGCACACAGTGTTTGTGTATGGCAGCACAATCTAGTGAAGATGGTTTCAAAACTTGATTTAGATTTTTTTATAGATTTGATGTTTAAATAGTTTTTCCCACTTATCTTCGTTCAAAAACAGATACAAATCTCACATATTTACTGTTTGCACTATCCGATTGAGTGGAAAAATATACTAAATGAAATTTTTAAATTCTTTATGTAACTTTTGTCTTTTGGCGAATTTCGAAAAATCGCAGGATTATTCTAGAATGTTTTATTTTTATTATATTTAAATGTCAGCATCTAAAAAGGCATTAGAAATAAAGTTTTGAAATCTTCACAGATTATAAAACAAACAAATTACATTCTTTTCAAAAAAGAACAACAAGAAAAAATATTATTCACGTGATTTTGTAATGCTCTCTGAAGTAAAAGAGGAATACTCGTTCTTCCTTTCTCTAAGAAAACAGTTTAAAACTTATTATGTCATTAAGTTACACGTATCGATGAATGCAGTTTGTGTATTGGTTTCAAATAAGTTGACAAAAGCAAATGGAGTAAGTAATTCAGCGATTCTACTCATTTGATGTAAAAGTAGTTTTTGTTGTTTAGTTTAATTTATAGTTTAGAGCATGACTGTAACTGCCAAGTTTAAGACAGACGATTTAATAGCTGTCGTTGAGGAACCATTCCGGCAGGTGAGAAAATGAATGGTTTCTATAAAGAATCTGAAAAGAATATTAATGCATTCAAAATTGCCCTCGAATTAGTGTAGTGTGCGGTATATAGAATGTTTTATGGATATCAATAGAGTGTAGTAATTTTTCCAAAATCGATTTAACTTCGTGTTCATTAAATGCCGTTACAATTAATCGCACAAAGTCTCCATTTTACGAAAACATTAAATATCTCAGTTGTTTATTGGTTTCGGATAGACCGGGAAAAATGTCTGCGAAATGAACTTTATGGGAAATTTTTGAATCTTTATTGAATGCCGATAATTTGAAAATCCTTCCTTTTTACGACTATTTCATCTTTATCTTCGTTATTAAATAATCTAAAATTGTGCGTATGAATGCAATAATTTAGGATGTGAGAGAATCTGGTTTTTCTTCTTAAAAACATTATGCGAATAGTTCCTATTTGAACATACAAAGGACAATTTCTGTTCTAGAATTCCCTCAAGAGAGAATTTTGATTGCACAAACTGAGAAAATATTTCTGAGTACTTGTATGTTCTCGCTCTACATAAATGAATCCGATTCCCATTTGTAACAAATGCTAATAATCATTTTGTTGTTTCCGAATTTATTGTAAAATCTTAAAGCTGATGTATGCATTATTTTTCAGAAATGATAAAGTTACTAGTTGAGAAATCGCCGCCACATATTCTTGACCTGCTGACTACATGGGGATACACGCCTTTAGACTATGTTTGTGAATATAATAGCCCAGATGTTGTTCAGTTTCTCTTGTCACAAGGCAGTAGTTTGGACTCAAATAATTCCTTATGATTTCCTTTATTCCGTGCTGTACACAATCCCGTGGCAGAATATGCAACGTCAATTGCAACTCTACTTGTAGACGCTGGTGCAAAAGTAAGTAACGAAATCAAATCAGTGTTTTTGAATGATAAATGTTTAGTATTAATTTTTAAAAAATGTAAGTCTTTATCCGGATATCACTAACCAATAGAAAATTTGCATTGTGACACGTAAATTTAATCGCATTGAAAGCAACTATAACCCATTTTTTTTGGTAATTGATTAAAAATATTTTATCATATAAATACATAATCTTATTTTTCTCTCCCCAATTTTTAGCATTTTGCGAGTGTTTTCAGGAGGAAGTCTAGAGATTTATTAAGTCAATTTCAAGAGTTAATATTTAATTGTAAAACAGTCATATGCAAAAAATGATTCTCAAATTGAAAAGCTTTTACCTTGAATTACAGTTATTTTAAAGAATTTAATTGTTCACACATTTTTAGAATAAACAATGTGTAATGAAATTAAGGGCAATTTGTAAATTTGTATGATATTTCATGACATTCGGTAACAGTTAACTAATTAAATTAGAAATTAAAATTTTTGCATTTCATAACGTCTTGTAAGTGAAAATAATCTTAAAACTAGATATTCTCTTTAGTTTATTTGACTGAATGAATGTTATCTATAATGTTAAGGTAATAATATTACAAGGGTCAATGTGCTCAGGATATAGGAAGAATTTCGAATTTTTCGCTTTCTCATATGGAACGTGTAGACTCTTTAAACAGTAAATGCGTCAAATCAAAATCTCCTTTCAAATTTTGTTTCAGAACAAATATTTCATTATGGTCAATAGGTTTTAGGTTCTATAAATATTACTAGATGTCAAACTGTAGATTCTGTAATCAGTAAATGCGTCAAATCAAAATCTCCTTTCAAATTTTCTTTCAGAAGTAATATTTCATTCAGATTCAATAGGTTTTAGGTTCTATAAAGTTTATTAGATGGTAAACTGTAGTAGAAACTAAGTGTGGCTTATAAAAAACGCTATTTTGCTGTTTGTCACATACAGAAAACGATAAATTAGATATTGAAAAATTTGGGTTTGAAGTATTCAGACTGAGAAAACATGCAAAATAGAAATATCCAACACTGAAAATCTTAAATATCCTTAAAAATTGCTGACATGGATCTGTTATATAAAGTTTATATAATTATATGAGTGATATTACGTCAGAATGAAGGACATCTTCGAACATTACCCAAGGAGCATGGCAACGTCGTAACGACGTTGCAAACTCGTCACAGATTTCGTTGCAAAAACGTTGCAATACCTCTTTGCAGATGAGGTTTTTGTCGCACAGACGTCGTTGTTGCGTCTTTCTTAGGTTATGTTTTGGTTGTGAAAGCATCGTATAACGACGTCTTAAACGCCTAAATGTTCGCAGAATTCGACCTTTTTGCAAAATTTGTGAAAACGTCGTTATTATGTCCTTGTGTTATATATTGATTTATGCAGAAAAATAAGCTTAATAATTAATGTATTTTTCTTCTTTTTTAGAATTTTGTATTCCCTGTATTTTTCTAAAGTTTAAATATTTTATCATTTCCTGAAAACCAGAAGATAACATAATTTTTTCTCTTTAGAATAAATATGCATAATTAATAATAGCCTTAATTATTTTCAGTACTTTAAACTATATTTTTTAAATAACTTAAATTCCAAGTTACGATTATTTAAGATTTCATCATTTGTTTTCTTAATCTTTTAGCATGTAAGTGCGAGTAATTATGAAAGGGGTTTATAAATATATAACAATAATAGTATGTTAAGTAAATAAAACTCAGTCAGACATAAATAAAATTAAAGCTATATATGTGGGTAAAAAAAAAAAAAAAAAAAAAAAAAAAAAAAAAAAAAAAGAGCGTTTTTAATTATAACAGAATTATCACATTTTCTGTTAAATCTCAGAGACAGCTTTGCAAAATAGCCACATCATTTCAAATATATTAAATTATTACTGTAAAAGCTCCTTTAATACATATTATTAACATAAGTAAACTTTTTTCTTTTAATTTCAAAAATAATGATGTTAGTCAAAATACATAAAGTAATAAAACTTTAACAATATAACATAAAATGGTTAATTATGCACCATAAAAATGCTAGTGTTTGTTTAATTGCAGCAATTCATTAAATGCATAAACTCTAACAGAAAACATTTAATTTGAAAGGGTAATATTAATCGAAAACTATGTAACCGTAAACCCTTAACAATATAACACTAAATGCTAAATTATTCACGTTAAGTTTATCCATTATAAAAATTTATTTATATTGATTGAACAGTTGTGTAAATACACAAGCTGCATCTCAAAGTTAGAGCAATGTTTAAAAAAATGTATCAATGAAACTTTTGACGACAAATTGTTTAATAGAGTATTTCATGGTGAAATGTTTTAAGTTTCAGAAAATTAAAATAAGAATGTTTCCTCTTTTAAATTCAGTCACCTGAAGAGTTCATGACAATATAAATTTAGTATTTTTAGATTTTAATTCCACTTGCTTATTAATATAAATTCAACAATTAATAATTATGGGAAAAGCATTTTATTTTTGTTTACATTTTGATAAATTAATTGTAGAACTTTAAATACATATAATTTACCAATACCATTGCTTAGATCAGAAACATTTTAAACTTAATTTTCTTTTTATCTAATGATTCTACAAGTAATCATTCTTCTTAATCTATATTAAAAATTATTATAACATTTTACATTATAACTTCAGAAAAAACTATTCTATATTTACCTAATATGCAGTTATTTTATGTTGGTAATCATATTATTTATGCCTAATTTAGAACAATTTTTAAAAATGATAATTTAAATCGCAAAAAATAATCGACCAAATAGTGTCAAAACATGTTTATCGACTTTCGTAGATGTTTCTCTTACATACTGTATTTAATTAAATATCATGCACTCCTTCATGTATGCTTTCATCGCCTATAAATTTATATTTTCCAAGAATTCTACATTTAAAAATTAATTAGAACATTATTTGTAAGAAGATGTTCTAAAATGAGCTTTGAATAACATGCACAGAAATATTCCTTTCATAGAGCTAGAAAATTTCGTAAATTAAAAAATCAAAAATATAAATTTTTATTTTCATCAAAAGATCAATTAATTATCTTGCAGATGAATTTCATAATAGTATTCTAAGAGTTTAAAAAATTAGGAAATATTAGAACTAATAATAGAATGATATAAAGGAAAATGTATAATAAATTACACAACCAAAACAAAAAAAAAATTATATTGTAGCTTCAGATACATGGATTTTACAATAAAATTGATACGCAGCGAGTGATGGGTACGCACCAGAGTGCCCGGGTCATAGACCCTACACCTAATTGAAGATGGGCTACTTCGAATCACAAAAACATAATTAATAGATATATATAAATATGTACAAAATACTAGACTTAATGTTTTTAAATTATAGTTGATGAAAATAGTAAGTGAGATTAGGGTAATTATTTATAACAATTAGAGAGTACAAGAATCGTTAAAAAGTGAAAATGCCATCCAGAAAAAGCTGAAGAAGCCCATCGAGCCAGTGCGAACAGCTATGACAAAAACATGTAATTGTCAAACAGGTACAAGATAAATGCGAGACCTAGTGTACAATATTACACGAATATGCATACAAAAATTATGATAAATGAAGTAAAGAACACAAAAGATAAATAGATGGATACAAACAATACAAGAATAAATTATACAGATAGAAAACCGTGGTACTCGTAAGAATTTCTCCTCAAGGCGACATCAAAAAGTTCTAATTGGGTTAATTCTCAGTTCATTTTATAACCTGTGAATTCTAACTTGCAATAGTCAGGATTTTGCGCATTATTAGGTATGTAACTCAGACATTTCTTCAGAGATTTTTCTTAACCCATTATTAACAGAGAGACTTTCAAATATGTTACATATTTCCTTAAATACTTTATAGATATCAGTAAATTTAATAAAAAAAGTCAGCATTTTTATGCCGTTATTTTAAACAATTGAATCCAATTTGGACGAATTACCCCGACCAACGGATTTGTCCACTCTTCCTCTAAATGTATTGACATAACTTACACCAGGTCTACTAATATCATTTTAAATATTGTTTGCAGTGGGTTTTGGCATAATATTATGATCAGTAAGAAGTTTGTGCAATTCTTTGACTTGTTATTTTGGCTTTGTCTAGCGGCGATTTCTGCGTGAAAAATCCCCGCTACACAAAGACAAAATAACAAGTCAAAGAATTGCACAAACTCGGTATTCATGTACACATCGACCTATTTTCACTTTCATTCGTAATTTACATTCATGATAAAAAATAAGCAAGTAATCAATTTCCTAGTTTCATTTTCAAATAAACTATCTTGAGCCAAACATCTGAATGTTAGACACACTCCGAAGATATTCTGTAGCCTTTCATATGTATCTATAACTTTATTTTAAATGCTGCCAACAGCATAAAACATTTAAATTATATGACAAAACTCATATAAGTCAAACATTTTTAATATTAAACTCTGAGTTTTAAAGTATTCTTATTTAAATCAGTAACCCCAACATTGTTTTTATGGTTTTAAATAGTTTTTTATATTACCTATACAAACATTCACACCATACATACATCTAGGTTAGAAAGATTATAAAATAGTAGGTATTTTCTTTTCTGATGTCCTTTACAGTTTCTTATTACCTGTGCCAAAAATATACCATCGTGATCCTAAATAAAGAGAATATTAGTTTTCTGAATTTATTTTCAGAACTGTAATTGTTATGAGTAGACTCATATAGACCAAATTTTAACAGTAACAACATCTTTTGAAAGAGCATTAATGTCATTAACTAATTTCCAAAACATTTTCTTCAATATAGCAAAAACCTGAAACATTCATATCATTCACATAAACCAAGCATTTGAAAATGAAAAATCTAATTTCAAAGAAGTTTATTCATTTAAACGAATAATCGCAGCAACGTGTTTAATGCTGTTAAGGCCTTAATTTCCAGATTTCACTAGAAACATA